CTGCCGGCCCATGTTTATCTTGGCATCAATGATGACTCCAAGATCCTTTTCTGGAGTTCCCCAGCCTGTAGGTATGCTGCTGGTTCTTCCTCCCCAGGTGCAGTACCTTGCACTTGTCAGTGTTGAAACCCATTTAGTAGTTGTGTCTAAAACTTGCAGCAGTTTCAAAAATGTACTATGCCTCAATTCTGGATGAACTAAGGGCGCATCTACACAAGATGCTGCAGTGCTGTAGCAACACACTATGGCACTGTAGCGTCCATTGGCAAAAACTGTGATGCTACTGCTACGTTGCTGTAGCAATGCGCTCCTTCATTATAGTGTGTTGCTACAGCGACATAGCAACCAAAAATAACCATGCACAGCCGGCAAAGTGCAGTATGGACTGTTACTGTGCCATCTTTTAGTACTTCCAAAAGGAAGTACTAAATGATGGTGCAGTAACAAAGGTGCCATATGGTCACATGTAGACATGCCCTAAGTCTATGGATACCATATGCAAATTACTATGGGCATGTTTATTTCAAGGTTAGTGTTTTCAGATTTGCCCCTCAATTTCATGTGCTCAGGGAGAGCAGGGTCTGACAGGAAGGGGGTGCAGGGGAGAAAAGTTGAGGGGGGGTGGGAGGCAAGAGGACTACCTGACTCCTCAGATTTATTTTCCCTTCTGTAGCAGTGGGTGGGGGACAAATTCAAGGCCAACTCCCAATAATTAGATTCTATGCCTGGAAAACCATAACATATTTATAAATTTTCTATATATAGAATCTAATGATTGGGGGGATCACCTTATATTCAGGGTCATCTTATATTCAAGTAAATATAGTATCAGTTTTTAAATATAGTTACTAAACATGGGAATAGACCTATTACATGACAACTGCTGTGTCCACTCATAGCATCTGATGAAGTAAGCTGTTGCTTACAGAGGCTTATGCATTTTGGATTTGGTCTATAAAGTGCAACTCTATCCTGCTTTTAGTGTTCCTTCGGCTTCTTAAGAATATGCGATACAGCTGGGAACACGGTGCTTCTATGCACAAGTTCGACATATGGTAAAGGGATGTGCCATGGCAACTTTGGGGTTGTCTATACCCCAACAGTGGCAGGTTGAGGCAAGGATGAGTATGCCCCATCCAGTTTCCAATCTACTTTTGAAGTTAGCAAGTGGGGCCTGTCCTAGGCCTCCTGTAGACTGAGGGGCCTGAAGTAGCCTCATTGTTGGGCAGGTAACTCTGGACTACATTACAGGACCTGGGTGAGCAGGGAGGGCCCAGCTCCATGCTATGCCAGACACAGTTACTGCTCTTGACACTCCCACTCCTGAAATCACAAGATTAAATGAAACTTGGGATATTCACATAAAATGAAACATTTAAGTTTCTGCATTGCATGACTGGGGGGAAAGGAAATGTGAACCCTAAAAGTGGTAGTGGGGGGAGTAGGTAAATATAAGGAACCCAAAGTGAAGAAAATATAATTATTTTTAAGCCAATCTCATATTTTTGGAGACCTGACATCATTTTTGAATACTTTCATAGATTCATAGATGTAGGGTTGGAAGGGACCTTGTAGATCATCTAGTCCGATGCCCTGCTGTGGGCAGGAGAGAAAACTGGCCTCAAATGACCCTAGCCAGGTAAACGTCGAGCCTCCTCTTAAAGACACCCACGGTAGGAGCCATCATCACTTCCCTTGGAAGTTAGCTCCAGATCCTAGCCACCCTGACTGTGAAGTAGTGCCTTCTAATGTCTAGTCTAAACCTACTCTCTAGCAACTTATGGCCGTTATTCCTTGTTACTCCGGGAGGCGCTCGGGGTAACAAGGTCTCTCCCAAACCCCACTGGTCCCCCCTAGTAAGTTTATAGGTGGCCACCAGATCCCACCTCAGCCTTCTCTTGTGACGGCTGAACAGGTTCAGGTCCCATAGCCCCTTCTCATAGGGTCTGCCCTGCTGTCCCCGGATCATGCGAATGGCCCTCCTTTGGACCCTCTCAATTCTGTCCATATCCCTCCTGAAGTGCGGTGCCCAGAACTGGATGCAGTTCTCCAGCTGCAGCCTGACCAGTGTCGCATAGAGGGGGAGGATCACCTCCTTGGCCCTGCTTGTGATACTTGGAGTTGGAAACATTACACTGGTTGCTTATCTTCATAACTGGAAACACTTTGTTCAATTTATTTAATAGAAAAGATTTGCAGTTCAAAAATCATTTGCAGGAACAACATTGTTTTGTGATGAGGTATGATCTTGATTACCAAGAGAGAAGAGTAAAATTGATATAAAATGTCAAAGTTTCCATCAGTTCATTATGCTTGTCTCATTTGCAGGAATCTTCACTTATTGATGTGTGGAAAAGAACCTGCTCCATTCCTAATCCACCAGACCATAATTACCAGTCAGGAAGTCATATGGCACCCAAATTTCAACAATTAGTTTGCTCAATGACAGACACTCCAGGAGGTGTATAGGAAGGCTACTGTAACATGCTCTGAAATGGGCATCAGTCAACCCCTTTACCCACACCTTTATTCAAGGGTTCATAAGAGAACAGGATAACAGGCTCAACATCTTTCTGATGAGCACAAATCTGGCAATCAACAAAACCAGCACCACTAACAATCCTGAACTTCCCTGTAGCACCAAAATCTGCTACTTCCTGTTCTAACATAGCTGTTTCCCCCATTTGCCCAAGACATCCAGATTCCAGAATGAAGTAATAGGAAACTTAAAAAAGAGGTGAAGCAACAATCCTGTTTCTCTTCAACCTCAAATTCAGAAGATGCCCCATCCCCCAAATAAAACCTTTTAATATATGCATATGCTATTTGACCTGCTGCTGAGCATTAAAGCTGGAATTTCCAGGTTCATTCTTTGTAGAAATATTAATGTATATACACAGTGAAAAAGACAAAACAGCATCTGATATCTCCTTTTACAGAAAAACCATAGGTTCCATACAGACAATTTTTGGATTTCCACACTAGGTTGTATGCTGGACTTGTAAGAGCAGCAGAAAGTGGGGACATCACACATGTCCTCCTTGCCTGGATCAACTATCGCCTCTTTCAGACAAATGTTAGTCTTCCCACATTCTCCCCACTTAGAAAATTAACTATCAAAACTACGGCAGCCACCAAACCTCCGAATCCTTTACAATTTTAGCACACCCTACTAGGGCAAACTCAGCTTCACAACTATAATGCCAAGGGGCCAACGAGCTGATAGAACAGTACATGTATAATCAAGTGATACCTTGCTCAGATAAAGACAGTCCTACATATTTTGAGAAGATGAGTGAAAAATACTTTGGAGGAGCCAGTTTCTCCAAGTTCATATGATCATTCTAGTCCTCACCAATATCTTTCCTATCCAAAGTCATGAACTCCCCAGCCTGACTCAGGTTACTTAGCTCCTTTTCCCCCAGAATGCTCTTTTTCTGATTAAAGGGAATTTACCAGTCTCAGTCTGTTAGCACAGATGTGAGCCTAGATGCTCTTTGACTGATTGGCATTGGGTACTCAGGCCCTCTTTCCTTTTCACAGCAATTCTTTCCTCCCCACTTCTTCCCTAGCAGGAACCTCCTTTTTTCCCATTTCCTCTCCTCCCACCCCAGTTTCTTCCTTCCCTTTGGGTTCCTCTTCTGGCTCCTTTTAATGGTAGCAATGTTGAGACTCCATATGGAAGGGAAAGTTGGAGGGACAAAAGTAGATGTCTGCAGTGGGGAACAGAAGATGGAAAGTAGAAAGTCTGAAGGAAAATGAGAAACACAGAATGGAAGAAAGAAGGAAAAGGAACAACAAGGAGAAGGGAAGAAGCAAGAACAGACCAAGAACCTTGAAAGAGAATAAAGAAAGAAGAGGACCAGAGGGAGAGATTTAGGATCAGGGAGGAATGAAAAGAAAGTGAAGTGTGAGTAAAAAATACTGAAAATTAGAAAGGGGAGGAAAGAAAACTGTCAAGTAAAGAAAGAACAACAAAAAATGTGGGTGATGTACTGCAGTATGTTCTGGTGATTTTTGTATTTGCTTGATGGAAAATTTGGTGTCAAAATATTAATTAAAATATGTGCTAGCTGTTTTATTTTGATAGCAAGGGAATGTGAATCTTCAGGATGAGAAGAGCTTGTGAGACATAGCTGTCATTGAAGGGAGGTCTGTTGTCCTGTCCTATGTCAGGAAGGAGAATAATCTGTCTGTATTTCATGTGTTTACAATCTCTATTCTTGAATATTTTTGCATATATTAATATGTGTTATGTTACTATGGAGTATGCAAGAGAATTTGGAGCCTTACATTTAAGAAGTGCATTTGCTGGTATGTCACTAAAACTCAAAATACAATATGGGCAAATTATTTTTAATAGAGTTAAGGCCTGCCTATCCAGGGAGATAGCCCACAATAATTATTCTGCACTAGCTCTCTGCGTGGCACCGATTTTGTGCTAGCAGTGGTTTAATTTATACCACTTCAAGCCAGTGTAGAAAGTATGCTTAGTGAAGAGTAAGCATGTTCACATTGGGAATTAATGTGAATACCTATTGTATTTTACATTTGTACCCAAACTTATTGTGCAATAGCTTCCCTGCATTGACCAGCTGTTAGAGTCACTGTAGTGCAGGAGGCTCAGATAAGGGCTTTTGCACCATGCAAGTCAGCAGTAAAAACAGACGTCAGCATTTGTTTGGAGTCTAGAGCATACCTTCTTCCTTGCAATGCATTTCACTCCTCTAGAATCCTACAACAATAACACATTAGTTATTTCTTTCTCTGTTGTGCAAATCTTTTCCCATAACTTTTTCTTTCAAAATTTAATATGTTAAAAATGCAGGAAACGGCACCTGGTATTTCACAGTGCACCACGGGAGCCTCCATTACTTTCCCCCATTACTTTTTTTTTTGTGTCTCCCCACAGCCTCTTTTGTTTGCTTGACTAGCTAAGGGCCAGGCTGGGTGCAATATCTTGGCTGTCACCCTGAATCAGAAAGATCAGAAGTCCTTACCTCTGGGCTGGAGTAATGAGAGGGCTTGCTGCCGTCACTCTCACTAGAACTGCTTTCACTCTCTGAATCAGACTCTGAACTGCTCTCGGATTCACTGGAGCTGCTGCTGCTTGACCCCTTGCTGGAGAGTCCTGAGGTTCTGCTATTGGGCTGTTGCACGCCAGTGCTGCCAGCCCCAAACACAACCCACCAAGGGGGAGGGGGGAAAAAAACAAAACAACAACATAAAACAAACAAAAACACGCTATTTTTAGGCAGCATAAATCACAGCTGTCTAAATGTTTGCAACCTAGGCTTTGCGGTTACAAAAGTGGTCAGATGGGTTGAAAATTACATTCTTTTAATTGCAGAGGGGGGTGAGCGGGTGGGGGGTAGGGGGAATCAGATTTCAATGTTAATACCATGCTAACATTAATACATCACCCCGAGCATTTCTTTGCTTTATGAGAGAGGATCAGGTTTTCATTTCAGGTTACTTTTGCATATTTAAGAGAAATTGTAGGATATATTTCCAAGTCAGACAGTAGAAATGTTGGAAATCTTTTGGAAAACCTGGGCTACAGAAAACTTTGGAACAGAGAAAACTTTGAAAAGACTGGAATGCAGAAAATAGCCTCATAATATCTACTGTATAGTCATTACTATCATAAAGAGAAAGCAGGGGGGTTGTAAATTGGGATATGGTTCATAATATTGGCCATTTCCAACAAAATAAAGTAAAATAAAAAAGGTACAATAACTTCTGGTGGCCCTTTTTATGTGTATTGTATTGGCAAAGTAAATATGATTTAGTTAGCTATATGTGCTGTATTCACATTGAAATCTGCAAGAACTAAGGCTCCTGTCCTGAAAACACTTAAGCATGTACTTACCATTATTCACATGGAGCAGTCCTATGTAAGTCAATAGGACTACTCACCTTAAAAGCTGAGCATGTGCTTAAGTGTTTTCTGAATCAGGCCTTTACAGAAACAGAAAAACATAATGTTTCCATTCCATAAGTAACTAACTGACTGCAAATATTAAGACATCCCACAGTCATAAACATTTGAGTTTTAAATGACCTATTATCTATCCTGTTTCCCAGGTTTTGGAATATTGTTGTTTATAGTACATTACATTTTTAGTGATTTATCTAGTCTGTTTTAAATAACTCAAATCAATGGGACTTTCACCTCTACCCATGGGAAACTACTCTGTAATCTAACAGACTACATTGCCAGAAGATTTCCCCCAAAATTTGGACTAAATTCGTCCTTTCTTAATTTATTATCCTTATTTATTATTTCATCCCATTACTCATTATCATTACCCTACATTATTCCCCCTTGCCTTCAAATATTTGAAGCTTGCTATTCAGTCCCCTTGGCAGTAATTTCTCAGCCATGCTATACATGTTTAGCTCTTCTGATCTTCCCTTGTAAGTCAATACCTCCAGGCTATGGATCATTTTTATGGCTCTTTTCTGAACTTTTTCCAATTTGTCTATTAACTTTCTGATAATGGGATGCTCAAAAGTGAAGGCAGTTCTACAGATGTGTTTTCACTAGAGCCATACAACGAAGGACTATTATCTTCCTGGTCCTATAGCTTCTGCATATGAATACCAACATTACACTGATGTTTTGGCTCTAACGTCATATTGTAAACTTACATATAGTTTGGTGCCTGAATGCTTAGTGGTCTCTTTCAGCATTAGCGCTTCCTGATGCCTCCAGTGAATATCTACCCTTTGTATTATTTCCCTTCAGATATATTTTCACACCGAGTCACATTTTGTTACTTGCTGCCCATGTTTCCAGGTCTGTTTGATTTATTTCTCTTGCCTCAGAGGTGTCTTCAGCAACTCCTAATTTAGTATCAAATGCAAGCTTAATTAAATGGCGTTCTCTTCCTTTTCCACATCATTAATGAGAATGTTCCATAAATCCAAACCAAACTCTGGTAGTCTAATAATTTTCTCTCACCTCAATTCACTAATATTTATTGTCATTTGTATTTGATATTCTTCAGTTCATTTCTGATCCTTATCTAGGCTAATTTGAATTAATTTTGAGAGATATTTTGTAAGAAGCAAAATCAAATAATTAATTAGAAATCAGACGTATTACAGCTAGTGCTTTGTCTTCATCTCCCGAATTATGTAATTTATTCCAGAAAGCAAGTATCTGACCCAAGACTTCTGGAGATAAGAAATATATAGGTGAGAATTTTTCCTGAGTTGAGATCCAGTTGGTGTACAAAAGAGCCAGTTACAATTCCCCAATTCCCTGATTCCCTTTTCCACCCAGCTCCTGGCCTACCTCCCCATTTCCAGGGGACTGTTTTAATTCATACAGGCTGTTCAAAGGTTTCCCAAGGGACCATCTGCCTGAAACAGACTTGCCCAGCACCAGTCTAGCCCTTCTGCCTTCTACTTCTAGCAAATCTCCTTCATGCATTTAGCATGTTGTCTCCAGGGCTAGGGACAGAAATTACACATAAACCAGTATAAGTGATTGGAAACCAGTTCAAATCTATAACACAACAAAAGTTCATTGTACATAAGCCCCTTTCAAATTGGCCAAAATGGGTTTAAGATAAACCGGGATGGATGTAGTATCAGACTTATGGGTGCCTGTATATGTACAGGGACGCTGCTGTGATGCACTGTAGTTACAGTGCGTAAGAGCAGACTCGATTTATCAAGTCTGCTGCGCACTCCAGCAGCCTCTGCGTCTCGTGTATTCAGCGTCCCCACTTTTCAAAATGGTGGTGGGGGCATTTTAACTAAAGCTCTTCAAATGAGCTTAGTTAAAGTGCCCCCACCACCATTTTGAAGTGTGAGATGCTGAATACATGAGATGCTGTGGGCACTTTAATTAGAGTGGCTCTTGGAGCCACTCTTATTAAAGCGCTCCCCCCACCCCTAGAACATGTGTAAAGACGTCCTAATTGATTTAGGTTAAATCAGTTTATTAAACTTCTGTCCCAGATCCTGTCCAGATTCAAGTTAACTCACAGTCCCCAGTATCCCAGGATGCTTTGCACCTCTCTTGCAAACCCTCCCTCGCAGGGTTGGCGGCTAGCCTTGGCCCAAGCTGTCTACTCCAACCTAGCAGGAAAGCATGCTCTAGTGCCCCCTGGCTTCTGGCCTGGGCCACTGTAGGCATGTGGTTGAATTTCTAGAATCAAAAGTGAATGTCTGGTCACTTGCTTTTTGGTTCAATTTACACAGCTTAGGCTAACCTGTGACAAATGAATCAATTCAGCCTCGGGTGTTTACTTAGCCTCAGATACCAACACCAGGCAAAGGAGCTGTTTGTGGCCCTTGAGTGCTCCCTCATACAATAGTGGATTTTTCTTTTTGAATTTAGGCTGTTGGTGTTCCCTAAGGCTGAAAGGTTCCAGACTTCACAGACCCTTGGAGTACTGATTAAAAAAGAAAATAAAGTGAAGTGAATGAAGGGGAAGCAGCTGGAATCTATTTATATTTGCCAAAAAATTCCAGTCAGGGATCCACTTGTGACTGTCAGAGGCAAAAAATGCATGCTTGTAAAGGTCCATGCTCACATCAGGTAGCCCA